TATTACAGACAGTGTCTCGGCTATGTGGGCCCAATTCACAAACAATCCCTGCGTTTACTTAACTCTTGCTTGGAGCCTGCATTTCCACTTTTCTTGAGAAAGAGGAAGACAGGGAGGGCTATTAGACACTTTGCATTCAAATTATTTCTTTCATATTTGTTCTTTGTAAAAATTTCTCTCATTTTCCCTGCTGCTTCAACTTTTGTAAAATAAACAATGACAACAAAAAATAAAAAATATTGAAATTGTCTCCAAGATAAGCTATTCAAACACTTGTATCCAAGACAAACTTTTAAGCACTAAAGTTAACCAGATCTAACAGAATCAGGGACCTCAATTTCAAATGCCAATTTCTGAATTTGCCAGAATATTCTAATTCTTCTCTCTCCTCCCGTAGCACTAGAGAGGATAATAAAACATTACTTCTTAGTTATTACATTTAAAGGTTCCAGGAATATGGTACTTTATTTCAGTATTTCAAATATAAAACAGTGTAACTGGTCCTCTAGCCTGGGGCCTATCATTTGTAGTATTAGTCCTGTAAGAAAACATGTATGAAGCTTAAACAGGCTATATCCCTTAGGTAATCTGAGTAAGTGCCAGGAATTACTTATCTTTGAAGCTGTCATTATCACCACTAATTAGTAAGCTCTTACTATACATGAGTATTTACTATGGGGACACAAGAGTGCACAACTTACCTTGTCAGGATACATATGTTGTGTCCAAAGCTGCAAGGAATGTCAGGCGGGCAGAAAACAACGCAAGTTGTATCAGAGAAGGTGGTTTGGAAAGGTCTTATGATCGTGGCCTTTGACTGGATCCTTAAAAATCAAACTTAGGCACTCCAGAAAGACTAGCTTTCATCAAAATATCAGTAAGAAATGCTTGTGGGACTTTGGGGAAAAAGGAACCCTTCTCCAACGTTAGTGGGAGTAGAGAATGGTACAATCACTTTGGAAATCAGTGTGGAGATTCCTCAAAAAATTAGGATTCGAAGTCCCATTCAGTCCAGCTATTTCCCTTATGGATAATTTCTCAGAAGAATTGAAAACATCATACCACAGCTATCTATGTGCACCCATGTTTATAGCAGCACAATTTGTAATAGCTAAATCTTAGAAAGAATCCAAATGCTCATCAGCCACAGGATAAAAAAGATGCAGTATTTTTACACAATGGAGTACTACTCAGCTACAAAGAAGGATAAACTTGAGGATTTTATAGGTAAATGGATGCAACCCGAGACCACACTCTTAAATGAGATAAATCAGACTCACATGTGTAAATATAGTTCCCTAGTGTAAAAAACCTGAATGAGTAAGATCCAAAATGTACAAGACACTGAAAATAAAAGTGCTCAGAATGAAAGAACTGAGATTGATCATCAAAGTGTTTTCATGCCTAAATCTTGTAATCCAAACAACTACTTTTAAGATAATATGCAATATATTAACTAATTTCCTACTGTTTTGAAGTTCTGCATCTTTTTTTAAAATTAAAAAATATTGAAAAAAAAAAAAGAAAAGAAAACCTGTAGAACTGACTTTCAAGTGGCACTGGGACCTTTTGTGAAGTTCCCCAGGCCCTGGAAAATAGCCAGTCCCCAATACAAGTTATCTATTCTTGTGACATCTTCATTGTAAGAAATATTTTTGAAAACCCATTTTGTAATGCTGCAAAGGATTAACATGGCTTCTTTTTTAATGCCCTTGGTTGTTTTGTGTATACTCAGAATTGTTTGTTCCATGGGCATCTGAAGGGTACAAACCAAAATTCCAAGTAGCTTCTCTTTCTCTAGATGATGCCTTTCTGCAAGGTTTTCCAATTAGCACAGAACTGTACAACACCGTGATTAAGAATTCTGGCCTTTGAAGTCACTTATGCAGCTTGTGGCTCTGAGTGAGATTTAGTTTTCTTCTGTTTAAAGTAGATGTCTTCTCTCAGTTTTTTTGCCTGTTTCTATCTTGTAGTAATTATTTGCTGTTCTTTTAGTATGAACTTAGGTACAGTTTTTTTTTTTTTTTTTGGTTTTTTTTTTTTTTTTTTTTTTTTTTTTTGTCTTTTTGAGACAGGGTCTCGCTATGCAGTTCAGACTGGCCTTGAGCTCACTTTGTAGCTCAGGCTGGTCTCGAACTCGTAACAATCCTCCTGCCTCAGCCTCCTAAGTGCAGGGATTATTAGGTACAGCTCTTGTGAAAGAATTGGTTGCCTTGAATATGAATGTTTTGTCTGATACTGTTGTGAAACTCATTGAGGATCAAAAAACAAAGTTTTCCTTCAAGGAAAAAAAAATTTAAGGAGAGAGGGCAAACTGGGTGAACAAAAGTACAATGGTGGGGATATGCAAGGCCTACAAAGTGACATGGTTGGGCCAATTTAGTTCTAAGTATTCTGCTGCAAAGTAACAATCCTAAAGAGGCAGATGAGGCAAGCCCAGTGAACAATGCGGGAACAACAAAAATTTCTGGACAAGGGTGTGTGATGTATTACAACACTGCTGCAATGTGCAAGAAAGTTTGAAAAACCTGGAGGGAGGAGAATCAATCGGTGTCAATAGAGAAAAGCCTACCAAGAACCAACTGTTGGCCTCGAAAGTGGTTAATCTTTTTTCTTTTTAAAGTATGTTCGTGAGCTGGGCATAGTTGGGCATTCCTGTAATCCTAGTACTCGGGAGGCTGAGGCGGGAGGATTGTGAGTTTGAGACCAGCCTGAGCTACAAAGTGAACTGAAGGCCAGCCTGAACTACATAGAGAGACCCTGTCTCAAAAAGACCAAAAATAAATAAACTAATTTTAAAAAGCCTTCACGGTGAAAATACTGAAGTATTTGTTTACTGTGCTGTGAGGATCAGTTAAAATGGTTCTGTAATGTGTATGATGAAGCTGGAACAAGAAGATCTAGAAGAGGAAGTCAGTAACCTTGGGTCAGTATAGACAATACAAACATGCAGACGTGCAAACACTGGAATTTAAGGTCCTTCCAATAAAGCATTTATTTTCCTGGAGGAATGCTTTTTTATACTCTGTCATAAAATGTACATTTGGCTGGACAAACAACAGAAATATAACATACTGATCTTCAGGTAAATTTTTGACATTTTTATGATCTTTACACAGCAACCTACCTTGAACTTTAAAAAGTTTTAATCACAATTACTAGTGATTAAAACACCAAATTCTATTCCACTGAGATGTCCACTGGAACAATTCAGAAAAATGAATAGCACACTTACCTGCTAATTAATTACTGCTGAGAAAAATGCCTCAAAACTTGTTCATACAAAACCATGGTTCACTGTTTCAGACAGGAGACGCTGGCTGTCTTCCCTCAAATCTTCACAGCACTTCAAGGTGGGTTTAACCTCACAAATCAGTCTCTACACACACTAGGGAGCAAAGACCTAATTTAACAAATACTAGCCTTTAAAAAAAAGTGTGTTTTTGAATAGATTTTTCTTTCCATTGTCTAATTGTATTTTCAGAAGGAAGCAGTACAAATAAAGTGGAGTCACTTCAAGTAAAATGGACACACAAGTGTACCTTCAAAAAACGATTCAAATGTACTGTGTTCACGTCTCGTATTATTAAATGAGAAACTATACTAATAGCCAGCATACAGATATTAAATCTGGTATGGGCTTTGGTGCCAGTAGATTTAGTATTATTTTCTAGGGTAACAAAGTCAACTTCAATCGTTCACAGACTGATGTTTTGTCTTTTGTTTGTTTTTGGTACTGGGGGTCGAAATCATGACCTGCCACCTGCCAGGCGGCCCTTACGCCACTGAGCTAAATCCCCTGCCCTCAGATTGAATGTTGTATCCTACACTACTCACCTCTTGAATCTATCATTGCTCTTAGAATTTGCTATCGACATTAAAACTGGAAAGAGGAAACTGATAAAATGTCAATTTTATTTATAAATGCACTGATGCTACTGTAGTTTTGGACTCTGTTGACATAATTTTCAGCATGATTTTAATTCACCAAGTAAAATCAATTTTAGGTTTTAGCTGATTCTGGTTGTTCACTTAGAAAAATGAAGACTGGGTCAGAGATTCAGTGGCATAGTGCCTGCCTGGCAAGCGCCAAGGTTGAGTTTGATCCTTAGTATTAAAAACAAACAAACAAACAAACAAACAAAAAAACAGAGACTTTAAAAGAAAAACAAAATTTTCATATTTTGCTCATAAAAAAACTTGGAATAGCATCTCTGTATATTAGTTATGATAGAAGTTACTAGTTGACATTGTTAAGTTTTCTTGTAAAATCCAGTTTCACATGAACAGACAACTACTCTACCCCTTTGAACACAGAGAATGTTAGCACCCAAGAAAAATGAGTGACAACAAACACTTAAAGGTTCATCTTTCCATGAGGCTCTTAATCATGTGTCATTATAGCAATCACCAAAGGTAGACTCCTGACCACCAACACAGCCTACACACCTCATATTCTGTGACAAAGAGTATCTTTTCCTAGTAGGTTTAAAAGACAACTCAAAGTAGACATTTTATAGCTAGAATCTGAGGTCAGCACATGCTGTTTCATTCTTTTCAAACTCAGAAAAATGCTGAGCCATAATTTTTTTGAAAACTGGCAATACAAAAGTCCTCTTCAAGAGAAATGCCCCCATGCCCAACACCAGTAACGTGGAGGAAAGTGTAAGTGACTACCTAGGCTTAAACAGCCTATGAAATCACGTTTGTTCTCAATAATGCAGCAACATTTTTCAAAATTTAAAAAGAAATGGAAGGAAAGTTTCAACACACCATAAAATAAAAACAATATTGGAGGGGGGCTCAGTTAAAATCTAGTTACTGCTTTTAGAATGAAACCTGGGGAAACTGATAAAAATAATCCAAGAAAAACAGTTTTATGCCATGATGTCATGAAGACTCTGGAGAAGACTTTTTTCCCTGAACCAATTAACAATTAAATGTTCTGCTGGGGTACAAATTATTTCCTGCACTACAAACTTTAAAAATAAGCCACAAAATTCACTTTAGAATATAAGTTTTTTAATTTTTATAAATAACTTATCTGTTACAAAGATAGTTTACCCAGCTAAATCACAAAACCATCAACTCAAGATATCCAAATTACATTTTATTAATAAAACAAGTAAAAACTGATTTATCAATCTTCACATAGAACTGCAGATGAAGCTGAAAAACAAGGTCTATTTTTAAAACAAAATGTATCAAATATAAGGGCTTTGGGTTTATGTCTGTTTATCTAGGATTGTCGTATTTCTTTTCATATACATAATGCAAAGCCCGGAGGACGCCAAGGCTTTTACATTCATAGAGATCACCTGTAATAATCCTGTTTCTTTAAAACACAGCCACTTGCATACATTTACAGTGGGACAGTCTACATTATTTCCTACTTTTGCTATATTTCAGCACTTCCCTTAGCCCCATTCTAAGCACTGATATATAATTTCATAATTCTTTTTAAATGCATACTGTTATTTTTTCTTGATTTCATTTAGGTATATACATTCCTGATCATCTGAATATTTATTTTCCTTATAAAAATATATCATCAACATAAAGAGATGCTTGAGGTTGCTTCAGTGTTCAAGTTTGCTTGTTTTATTTTTTCCAGCTTTTCTTCAGTTGTCCTAAATATGACTAGCCTTGTTTTATAAATACACATGATACTGCCACCAAGTCAGGTTTAGAAACAGATTGTCCCAACAGTAAGGCATTTAAACTTCTTAAAAGGGGTGGGGGTGGGGAGGCTGTCGGTACTGCTGATGTTGCTGGTTTTGAAACTGTACTTTCCCCAAAATAATCTCTTGTGAAAATTCTGTGGGACACCAAGCAGTTGAAGCAAGCTGTCAGTGGGTTAAAAATATCTTTTAAGCTTCCTTATGGAAGACAAGACACTGTTTTGTGCTACCCACTGCTCCAGTCAGTACACAGTATGATCTATCCACGTAATTCTTATGTTTTCTGCAATTCATTGTGCAGCATTTGTATATCTTCACAGAACATTGGCACCCATGAGGGCAAAGTACAGAATAAGTAGAGGAAAGTTATTTTGTGCATAGTTTCATTTCATTAATGCTTTTTTATTTTTATGGCATTGTTTCTTTCAGTAAGGCTTAAAAAGGGACATGATCGTGCTTAATCACTAAAAGGAAAAAAGAAAATTAGTTAACAAAAGGCTATTACACTATACATACAGAAATATAAGAATAATAAAGAAATCACTTAAAGCAGACTTGAGAGATCTGTACAGTAGGAAAAGCTTTGGGGTATTTCACTGTATTGTTTGTACAAACAATGCATGCTGCTCTCTTTTTATCTTCAGGTCCTAGATGCTGGCTTCACAGAGACATTTTCAGGGAAGACAAAGACAAGGCCAAGAGTACCACAGATTTGTGAAGTTCTTCCCCTATCCATTGGCATCTGTTAGAGGCAAACAGTTTTTAAATAGTTATACCTTGTTCCTTCTCTTCATGTATGTAGTGTTTCACTGAAAGCTTTTAAAAAAAAAAGCTACTGTTCTATTCCTTCCTCCTGTCAAAATTCAGTAGTGACAGGAGGGGGAAAATTACTGGGAACACCTAGGCAATAACATAGTGAGAATTATCCGTAACGGGATAATGGTAACACTGTACATGGTTAGGCAGCAGGCAACCAAGTCTTTCAGCAGATTACCTTTCATGTGATGAATTTCCACTGCCCATGACATTAGACTGAGGTATTATTAGCTCTGTGGGCTGACATTTAACATTAGCACAACACCATCTTGTCACACCTTCAAACTGACAAAATCCTATGTAGCAGTGAAACTTTTCCCCGATGACAGATTGATTTCTTGAACTTTAGATGTGGTTTTAGTGAAGACATAGGGGTTTCTGGCTCAGAAATGCCGTGGCATCTCACATTGTTCACAGCGGATTAAGGCTGGATGGTTCAAAAAAGTACAGGCAGTGCAATTCCACTGAGCCCCCTCATCATCTTCTGTGTCTTGAGTCTTTGGTGTTTTGATGGTGGATCTTTGATCTGGAAGGAAGTAAAAAAAATATTTTACAAGTAAAAACGAGTACGATAAATCACTGTAACACTAAATACCATTTGTACTGTGTAGCATGACGCACCCTGTAAACCAAAGGAAGACACTAGCTGAAACTGCCACACACGCTTGACCATCACCAGCCTCCATCCAGCTTGTTTTCTGGGAAGGGCAGCAAGGCATGAATCACTTTCACACCTCCTTAAGGGAGGAAACAACATATGACTGTCTTAAGCATCTCTGTCTTACAGCACAAGAGAAGGGAGCAAATTGTGAACATTTCTATGTCATTTAAGACTGTGCAAAGTGAAAAACAATACTGTAAGTGTATTTGAGTCTTAACAGTTTTCACTGCCCACCAAAACAGTGTTTATATTTGTTTTTTAAGCTAGGAATGAAATTTCCATTAAGTGTTCTTTGCTAAAAACATAAATCATAAAAAAAACAAAAAACAAAACTGATTTCTAAAGTTTAACTACATAGTAACAATAGACCATGAAGAGGTAAATCAGTGTAAAAATTTATCAGATGTATTTGTTTTACTGTTTAAAATCACATCTAATAGAAGAGAAAGAACAGTAAGTAGCCTTTTTGAATGTTTTCTTTGTTGTGTAGAAGCTTTTTAGTTCAATGCAATCCCATTTGTCTATTTTTGCTCGTTGCCATATCCAAAAAATCATTGTCCAGAACAATTTCAAGGAAGTTTTATCTGACGTTTCCTTCTAGTTTTTGTTTCCACATTTTGTTTAAATCTTTAATCCTTTTTAAGATGATCTTTGTGCACTGTGTATAAGGATTCTCATTCACTTGTATCCATGTAGATACTTGATTTTTCCAATGTCATCTATTAAAGAAACGGTCACTTCTCCATTGTGGTGTTGGCAACTTGGCCAATGGTAAGTTGCCAATAGATGCATGCATTTACTTCGGGCTCTTTATTCCATATCTACTTTTATGCTGGTAGCATATTGTTTTAATTACTGTGGCTTCTGAAACAAGCGAGTGTGATGTCTCCAGTTTTGTTCTTATTCAAGATTGCTTTGGTTATTTGGGGTCTTTTGTGGCTTCATTTGAATTTCTGGATTTTTTTTTCTGTTTCTATAGAGAATGCCACTGAGATTTTGAACATGATTGCATAGGCTCTGTAGAACACGAGTAATAAGGTCGTTTGAATAATAATGATTTCTCCAGTCCATGAACACAGAAGTATTTCATTAATCTTTAATTTCTTTCATCAATCTTTGTAATTTTGGTGTACAAGTCTTCTACCTCTTTGGTTAGGTTTATTCCTAAGTATTTTATTCTTTTTGTTGCTACTGTAAGTGGAACATTTTTCTTGGTCTTGATTTCTTTGTTTGGCTCATTACATAAAGAAACAACTGGTTTTGTATATTGATTTTGTATCCTACAACTTTACTAAATTCTTTTAATAAAGTTCTTTTCTTTTAAGTCTTAGGATTTTCTATATATACTGCAGTCTTCTTCTGGGATAAGGAAATCGTGTTAAGATCCCCCTAGTGAAACTCTATAGACTGTACTTGTTATGGTTTGTGTTAGATGTCCCACTAAAGTCTCATGCAGTCACAGCACTTTTTTGGATGTGGCAGAATCCTGAGTGTGTGACTGGTTGTGCAACGCTGGAAATAAAGGGTACTGGGATCAAGGGTGGGTGACTGGTGGCTCAGTTCACTGACTGGATGGGCACCACCCTTATCCTGGTAGACTGGATATGTTGTAAGGGACAGAAGAGGCTTGCCTCCCCTCACTCTCTGGTTGCTTTTGCTATCTTCTGCCACTATGAACTGTTGTCCTTCTGCTATATGCTACCCTGCCTTGGAGTGAGACAATTTATGGATTGAAATGTCTACAAACTCTGAGCTTAATAAACCTTTCCCCCTTTAATTCTGAGTGTCAAGTATTTTGTTTCAGCAGTGAGAAAGGATAGTACTGAACCCTACAAACACTATGATTTTTCCCTTTACCAAAGACTGCACGGTTGGTCTGTGTACCACACTGAAAAGAAATGGTGACTACTCAGGAGGCTGAGGCAGGGGAAACATACGTTCAAACAGCCCAAGGAACTTAGTGAGAATCTGACTCAAAATAATAATTTCAAAAAAGACTGGGCATGCACCACTCTATACTCAGTGGCAGCCATTCTTGCCTTGTACCAGATTTTATAGGGAGAGTTTTAAGTTCCCTGCCATTTATTATGACATTGTCTGTGTGGGTTTGATATATGACCTTCATTATTTTGATATTAGTTCCATTTATTCCTATTTTGTTGAGTTTTAACTCTCAAAACATTGTCAAAATGTTTTTAATGCACCTACTGAGATAATAGTATTTTTTCCCCTGTTTTACCATACTGATCAATCCACATATATTGAACCATTCTTGCTTTCTTAGAAGACATTTCATTTGGTCATGGTGTATGATCTTTTATAGTGTGTTGCTGAATTCAATTTGTTAGTATTTTAATGAAGTACTATCTATGCTTATTGGCCTATACTTTTCTTACTTGTACTTTGTCTGGTTTTGCTTGCAAGGTAATGCTGGCCTTATAGAATGATTCTTCTTTTTTTTTTTGGAAAGTAATAAACAATTAATTATTTCTGGAATATTTGGCAGAATTCATTCATGAAACCATCTGGTCCTAGGTTTGTCTTTATCGGGACACTTTTGATCACTGATTCAATTTCCTTATTTATTACTGGTACATCTGAGCTATTTCTTCTTGATTGAGTCCTGATAGGTTGTTACATTTCTAAGAATTTATCTATTTCTTCTAGGTTATTCACTTTTTGGGACAATAACTGTTCCTATTAGTTTCTTTTGATCTCTATTATTGAGGCATCTAGTGTCATGTCTTCTATTTTAGTTATGATTTTCTGTGAATCTTGTTTTTTAAAATTAAAAAAAAATTTTTGTCTTTTTGAGACAGGGTCTCACTGTGCAGTTCAGGCTGACCTTGAGATCACTTTGTAAGTAATCCACCTGCCTTAGCCTCCCAAGTGCTGAGATTACAGGTGTGTGATACCATGTCTGGCTGGATCTTGTTTTTTATTAATTGTCTAGCTAATGGTTTGTCTATTTTATCTTAAAAACAAAAACAATTGCTTTGTTGACTTTCCTACTGTTTAAAATTATCTGATTTACTTTCTCTTTTCTTGAGACAGAGTCTCACTAGGTAGTTCAGGTTGACCTTCAACTCACTATGTAGCCCTGCCTGGTTTTGAACTCACAACAATTCTTCTGCCCCAGTTTCCTTAGCTCTATAATTACAGGTGTGAGCCACTATGCCCAGTTCTATCTAATCTACTTTTGCTCCATTCTTTGTTATGTTCTTTCTTCTATTAACTTTGGGCTTAGTTTAATGGCTGTAATTCTTTAAAGTGTAAAGTTAGGTTATTTGAGATATTTCTTCTTCCTTAATACAGGCATTGATCTCTGTAAACATACTGTTTGTACTGCATTTGTTGCATTCCATAGATTTTAGTATGCTGTTTTTGTTTTTCAAAAGATACTTTAGATTTCCTTGTGATTTACTCAAATATCCAATGGATATTCAGAAGTGTGTTGTTAGTTTCCATTCATTTTTATGGTTTTCTTGTTATACTGATTTCTAGTTCATTCCACTACAGTCAAGAAAGATATCTGGAATGATCTAGATCATCTTAAATTATGCTATGAATTGTTCTGTGAACATAAGATATGTCCTAGAGAATATTCTATATATACTTGAGAATATGCATTTTTCTGCTGTCAGGTAGACCCTTCTGTGTATGCCTGTATCCTCCTATTGATCTTTTTATCATACATATGCTTAGAGTTAAAAATCTATAGTCCTATAAAACTATAGCCATTCATGATTTTAGTTATCATTTACATGAAATATCTTTTTTATCCTTTCAAATTTCAGCCTATGTATGTTTCATTTAAACTGAGTGCTGTGGTGCACATCTGTAATCCAGCATTCAGGAGGCTGAGGCAGGATGATCACTGCAAGTTGAGGTCAGCCTTGGCTACATAGCGAGTTCAAGGTCAACCTGAACTGCACAGTGATACCTCGCCTCAAAACAAACAAAAACCCCTCCTCCAAAAAGGGTCTCATTTAGAAAGTATACTTTATGCTTTTTGACTGCTGAGTTTAATCCATTTATATTTAAAGCAAGTATCTTTAGGACCTTACCATTTTGTTGCTTCAGTATACTTGGCAGTTTTCTTGCTCTTCTTTTCCTCTTCTTTTGTTATAGGATGATTTGATTTTTCTTTCTGTGGTACTGAGGATTGAACTCAGGGCCTTCATACTCAACTGCATGTCCCGTCCTTTTTTTTTTTACTTTAAAATTTTTAAACAGGGTTTCACTAAGTTGCTCAGACTGGGCTTGAACTTGTGATCCTCCTGCCTTAGTTTTGCAGAGTGCTAGGAATATTTTCCATCATGCCTTAATATAACTTTTTAAAATAGTGATTTATTTTGATTATTTCCAGTATCTTCTGTTATTATTTCACTTAAGTTATTGATAACAACTTAAGTTCAATTGCATATATTTACCATTCCCACCCTGCCATATTTTGATTATGTGTTCATTAACACATTTTTAAATAGTTTAACTTTCTAGTTAAAAGTAGATTACATACCCTGGTTACAGTGCTCTAGTAACCTGCACCTCTATATTGACCTTCACTAGTGAGATTTACATATTTGATTCCACTTCTTTACACATTTTAATGCCTTGCTCAAAAACATAGACATATTCTGATATGTGTTAATTTGGTATACATATATTCTGAGAATATCAACGAGATAGAATGATAACAGGTAACACTTTTTGAGCACCACTGATTTGGAATTCAGCATATTTTGATTATATAATATATAAAAAAGTTATATATAAATTAAAATAGTATATGCATGAAGAAATAAACTTTTCTAAAGTATCTTCCTTATCACTTGCCTAAGTTTTAAGGAATAACAGATTTTTGCCCTTGATTTTGTTTTTAAACCAAGACTAATTATTTTGGGAGTACACAGTCATTCCTCAGGTCACACAATTTACTTTTAAAAAGATGAATACATTATACCTTTGTATCCTCCCGAATCCCCAGCATGTAAATCAAAATAAACATCTGTCTAATGAATCCATCTAAGAATGCCAAAGTTTGAAGCACTTCTAGAGTGGAACTTTGCTAAATATAAAAATTTTCTAAAATCTTGCTTTTAAAAATGTAACAGTTTTCATACTTAATGGATACACTAACCTTTGGGTTTTGGTGGCACAGGACCTACAAATCCAATATTGTCATAAAAGTTATGAATAGCGCTGGGATTAAAATGTGGTCCTGAAATATATAAAAAGTAAATATATCAATGTTTGTAGCTCAAAAATACTGTTTTTTTAAAAAAGCAAGCATTTCTTTCTAAAAATACTATTGTATAAACAGAAGAAATGCTCTTCAATTTTACCTCTATTCTCAAATTATAGGTTAGATCTCAAAAACATATTTCAAAATATAGGTATAATATAGTATTCAGAAACAGAAGTAAATGGTAAATTGGGGAAGTCAAATTAATGCTGGTGAGAAACAATTATGAGTAGACTCCTACATGATTAACTTAAAATTTTGCAATTTAAAAATTAATATCAAATTATCAAACCTAGACTTCAGGAAAAGCATAGCCTGGACCCAAGGAAGTCTGTCTATGAGCTTTGTGCTAATGTGATATACTGATTTAGATTTTATACTAAAGGATTACGTTTAAGGACTATACTTTCTAAAAAAGCAGTAACTTTCTTTTCTTTCCAAAGTTTGAACTATGGCATTTTTCTGTGAATGTTTCAAGATAAATGGCTTACCAACATTTTAAAAGAAATTTAAATAAAATTCACTTTAGTGGATGCTGGAACACATTCAAAAGTGTGACTCAAGACTTTGTTTTTTTACTCATTTCCTTCCTTTTTTCTATCTTTTCTTCTTTATATATGTCTAACATTTTTCCAACTTCAGAATTACATTTAGATCATAAAAATTCTTTTTAGTTTTCTAAAGAACTGAATTAAACTGTAAATATTTTTTACTACAGTACGAAATTATTGCTTATTAACAGTTTAAGTATTAAAAAAAACTTATCATGGTCCAAAGAACAAATAATCACACTTTTGTTTTCTTCTCTATTTTATCCATTAGAACAGTGCCACTGAGATATGGGGCCACAATTCTTGAAATGTAAAAGGAAAAAAGGAATACAGTTATATGAATACATCTATATTAGCAAATATTGTGCAACAAGTTCTATACACATAAAAGTAATACATCTGACATACTGATCACTACTGTTCCTTAACATGTGATTAAAATAGATATGAAGGATATATGAAATGTCAAAGAATGTCTGAACTACATACATAGTTAATTTGGGGGGAAGAGGAGACAGTTCTTTAACACTATTTGGCTCCAAAGCCAAAAGTTCTGAGATAGTAAGTTCACGACTGGTAAGTCTGTTTTCAGCCACAGGAAGAGCTGGCAGATTAATTCTATTAATTTCAGCTGAGTATGCACTGAACTTTACCTCGGGCTTGAAAAAGATCAATTTCTTTGGTTAAGCAGTCAATGTCAATCTGGAGTTGTCTATTACAACTTCTCAACTGCTGCATTTCTTCAAGCTGAAAAATAATTTCATGTAAGAAAGATTTGCATTGAATTCTCATGTCATTAGTTAAGAAAGAAGAGTTTGGCAGGGGGAGATAAGGTCAGAAAAACAAATATGAATTAAGTATTCACCGAAACTAGATCAAGCTTTTACACTATGGCAGACGGCTTATTCTCATATTCAAGCACAGAGGTCACAACAGTTACATAAGACTTACTGAAGGTATTTGGGATATGGAATTTGATCTTTTTAGGCGCCTTCGAGTTAGATTATTTTCCATTTCATTGACCTCAGATTTTAGTTTATCCAGCTTTTTCTTTTGAATCTCAAGTTCTCTTTGAAGTCGTTCCATTCTGGCCTTCTGGTGTACCAACAGAGCTGCAACACATTATTAGTAAACGTGAGCACCCACCCACTTTAGTCAATTAACTGTTAGGTAAATTTGAAAAAAGAAAATAAGTAAGTATTTCTGTGATAAACATAATTTTCCAAGAATCCCAAAGCTACAAGAAAATACTATAAGTATAAACATTTACAATTCCAAAAATTTTAGAATGTTTCAATTAATTAAGCAAATGTTACTGACGTTATAATTGTTTTAGGGTTTAAATTTACTTTCTAGCAAACAATATTTTTGGCCTATTAATTTTCTGAAGGTCTTAGTCTACTTATTTAACCTACTTATTGCTGTCTAATTCACATCAGACCCCATATTAGACTAAAAAGAATTAAAGACAACATGACTAACCTAGAGGGCAAAGTGAAGAAATTAAGAAATATAAAATTAAACAAAGCACCCCAACAGGAACAATTCCAAATATATCAATAATCATAATAAACATAATGTAATTAAATGTATTTACTGACACAAGAGATCAGCAAAGACTTAAAAATTTAGCTACATGCTGTTAAGAAACACATTCCAAATGTTGTTCCCTCACCCATGCTTTTAATACGCTGAGAGTCTGTTAACTGTATCAATTTGAGTAAGAAATGCCCAACTAAATTGGATCAACATAGTTCTGAGTGTGGTTGAAGGGATTTACTTAAAACAGAAGATCCAACTTTGGTGTGAGGGACAGCAACCAATAGGCTTGTCACCTGAATGGAGTAACAGGGAAATGAAGAAGGAAGGCTTGGTTCTGTTTTTTCAGAGGAGCTCCAGTGTTCACCTTTACCTTGGGCATCACTTCCTGGCTTCTGGCACAGACTCTTCAGCCTTATGTGAGAGACCTTTTGGATCTCCATGCACAGATAGATTTCTTGCATTCTTTCACACCTGACTGCAGGTGACCATCACCTGTACTGTAAGCCAATCTTATAAATTCTTACATATTTGTATATCTTGAATTTGTTTTTCTAGTAAGCACTGATGGATTCAGAGTCCACTCAGTGTTAGGTATTTTGCAAGTGACTTGGGAAGTCAGTGAACAAAAAAAGAAAAATCTGCTTTTGTGGAGCTTATATGACAATGGCCGGAGAAAGCGAGGCAGGGGAGGAGGGCAAGAACAAAACTCTGAATTGGTGGCCACTAAAACTACGGCTCATGAGCCAAACCAAACCAGTCTGTTGTATAAAGTTTTACTGAAATACAACTTTGTTCATTTGTTTACTGGTCTATAGCTGTTTTCATGTTTCATCAGCAGAGTTGAGTAGTTATGAAGAAACTATGTGACCTATGAAATACAAAGTGAGTTACTGTATCAAACTGTGTCAAGTTTTTTGACCATATTAAGGATTCTGAATTAAATAGGGGCTAATCTCAGTACAGAAAAGTTCAAATGAACATGACTAAATTTAAAATAAATATCTTGTCCATTCTCAGAGGCACAAAGTAATAGCAGACATTTGGCTGGTGCTATCTAAAGACTATGCACAATGAACGAAATGACAAAACCCAAACCCAGCTCCTGATTAAACTAACTCAGCTCTTCATACTTAACAATCAGACAGAGAGAGAGAGAGAGAGAGAGAGAGAGAGAGAGAGAGAGAGAGAGAGAGAGAGAGAACGTACCTTTATTTCTGGGTGTAAATATTATTATTTATTTCAGTTCTTTTTCACACAGTATCTGGCATTCAATAAAAAGAATTAGGAGACACACTTAAAAGTAAGAGAAAGTCACATAGAAATAAAATAGAGAACAAAACCATATTCAGGAATAACTTAGATGCCCAAGGTACCTGACAGGGAAGTTAAGAACAACTGTAATTTATATGTTAAAGGATTTAAGTGAAAAAGTGGACAGATGCAGAAATAGATCGGTAATTTGAGCATGTAGAAATTACAAATAAGTCAGATGCTGGAAATGAATAATATAGGATGAAAGATAAAGAATTTCTTTAGGCTGATCAGCACCCTGGACACACAAAGATGAGTAAACTTGAAGATAGAAAATTACACAAATTAAACACAAAGAAAATGGTGGAAAAGAATAAAGAATTCGTGAATAGTGGGGTAACATGTTCTAAACAGCATGATGTAACAAAGATGACAAAAACAAAGCAGAAAAATATTTGAGGAAATGATAAAAAATTACCGAAACACAATGAATCACACGTCCAAGAAGTCCAGAAATTTTCAAATAGTATTAAAATACCTACATACATCACAGTCGAACTGCTCAAAACCAGATAGAGAAAAAAAAAAGCTTGAAGGCAGCTAGAGAAATTTTAATATAGATATATGAAGTAAAAAAAAAGAAAGCCATTGTATTCATTTCTGAAATACCTCTTACAGGAAAAAATACAAACAAAAAACCAAAAAACTTTAAGGCCCAACATGTTATGAGACAAAGAGGTTCTTAATGACATAAAGGAAAAATACTAGTAAATAATTCTCATTCTGTACAGAAAATCATAGAAGATGCTCTGTTTTTCAATGAATGCACCATGAGAGCACATTCTAGGATTCTTCAGTCATAGCTCTCCACTAGTAACTCCTAACCTGATATTCCTTTGTTTCTATTTAAATAGGAAAGTAAGCTGTAAGACTAAGCTACACAAAAGGCCAAGTAATAGGAACAACTTTCAACATGAGGCAAAAATATAATTTAAAAATTTATAATCAACAGAGCCACAGTTGCTGAGTATGGCTCTGAGATGTTTTTAAAGTTAATTTAGTTAATTAATTAGCTCTGAGATGTTTTTAAAGTTAGTTAGTTTTTCAGACAAAGTAAAATACTGCATCCTTGATAATTTATAAAGAAAGGAGTTTTGTAGTGGTTGGAGAAGTAGCTATCATAGGACTAGGACTCTACTGTAAATATACTTACAATTCAAGAAGTGTTTTTTTCTAGTTTAAATAAAATTTTAGAATTATTTATAATTATGTTGTTTAGAAGTGACCTAGTTACTTAGATCTCTCAGGTGTGTTTTCTAGTTATAAATAACCTTAAAAATGCTCAGAAAATAGTAAGAAAAGAATTTCTTAGCAATTCTTTGTTTATCTTTAGTTGACTTTTCAATTACGCTTTGGAACTTTTAGATAGGAATCTGAGGACACTGAATTACAGTGAAAAAAAGTCAAATTAATTTCTAAAAAAAATTACTGAAAATTCAGTTAAGGCTAAACTTTTCTCTAGCTGTGGTTTCTGCAAATTTAATTTTTGTTGTATAAAACAGTTCAAAATACTTGTGCACTATGCAACAACACTGTCACACTGACCCTGAAGGATAATTACAGAAAGTTGTTTTTGCTCTCACCAGCTTCTACTAAATGGAATGGTGAACAGATAGCAAGAAGCATAGCAATTATACCTCCAGGTTCCAAAGGAAGGGGATGGCTGGAAAGCTTTCAAATTGATTGGGCTTGTTGGGGGAGGCTAGGAATTTTCTACTGTTACGGAAAATTATTTTGAACAGGCACTTGAATAAATTACTTATATTGGTTTTCTGTTTCTTTTTTTTTGGCATGCAAGCAGTTTTAAACAAAATCATATCAACCACACATATCGATGAATTAGAATCATGTACAATCCAGAAATAGTGATTTGTTACACAGACTTCAAGGAAAAATTTTTCCATTCTTATTATTTATTTACATACAAATTAACACTGACTTAAAAAGCTAAGCTATATTCAATTATATTATCCAGTAATCTAAACATGGTTGACACAGCATTGTACTTGTCTCCAAAAGACCCACAAAAAATAAAAGAGGAAAACAACTGGTACAATATAACAATAAAGAATGAAGAAAGCAATTAATGTACAGTCTAATTCAATGAATTTCTGGAACACTAAAGACTAAGAAATTCAATGAATTTCTGAAACTACAAAGACTAATGAAGAGTAGAGAAAGTTGTAGTCTCGCGGATGGATTGGGTATTGCAGACTAAGAGACGGCTCTTGACTTTAGAGAATGTAGGTTAAAAATTGGAGACAGAAGTGAGGAATGAGACAGAAAACAGCAGCCAAATTAGCTTGCTGGAATGGTCAGCCTTTCCCTATCCCGAGAGAGCCAGGCCACGTATAGACACATATTTATTTTCAAGCCCCTCATCCTCAACACGCATCTCCACTCTGGCCTCCACACACACAGAACATGAAGTGGTCAGATGCACTGCTCTCCTAGAGCAGCTGACTGCTCACCTACTCACCAAAAGCAAAGCCTGTCAAGTGGTAAGTCTCACTTTCACATAAAAGGCTTTCAGCTAGTCTTTATTACACTTCTGGAGTATGAACCATTGGCCAAGGATTACCTCTCATTTGAGGAACATCTAACACATGAAAAAACTGGATAAACAATGGGCAAAACTAAACTTAGAATAAGTGGAAATAAGCTAGGTGAGAGAAGAATTTATATTCCAACCAACATCATTAAAAGACTAAAGAAATACTGTATCAATAAAGGAGCAAACTGCCATGAAAAAGAAAACTAGCTGTAAGAAATTAAATCACTAACATGAAAATTTCATACATGAGTTCAAATGCACACTAAGCAAAATCTCTTTAATATGTAAAACAGAAACATAAGGAGGTGCAATATTCTGAGGATATGAGAATGTAAAGAAAAAAAAGAAAGAAAAGGAAGTTGGTTTAGCAGTGGTTCTGTATGGGTTTTTTTGTTTTGTTTTCTGATGGTGCTATGGATTGAATCCGGGGCCTTTTCCATGCTAGGCAAATGTTCTATTGCTGAGCTACAACCCCAGCTCAGAAATTATAGAAAATGTGGAAACTAATGAGTTCAGAAGAGAATTTTATAAGGCCAAAGCCTTTAAACTGGAGGTGTCCACTAAGCATACAACAAGGATAATTACACACATACATAAAAAAAAGACATATACTCAGGCATACAATTATAAAACTTCAAACTAAAGACAAAAGAAGAGCTTAGATTTTTTCAGAAAGGAAAAAACAGGTCACACACAAAGGCACAA